GAAAGAGTAAAGGGCATAGTATGATTTGAATCTTCTATCACATTGCCACTCCCCAAATTTTTATTCATCATACTGTTTTACCCCGAGGCAATTATTTAGAAAAGTGCCACACATTTTTATACCCATGAGAAACTGGGTTTGGGAACCCGACTTCTCAAGGATTTTTATATTATTTTTGTTTTTTTTATTTTAATTTATATATATATATATATATATATATTTAAATTATTGAAGTACAAATTAAATTTTAAAAAATAGAATACTTGGTATTTTTTTATATATATTTAAACATAAGTTAAATTAAAATAAAGCACAATACAAAACATTGAGTAAAAACAATTCTAGCCATAGTAGTAATTTTAGCCGCACTTTTTAATGAATCTTTTTATTGTCACTAAGGATTAAAGTGTACAAAAATCTTAATGTGTGAATTTGTGTTTTTTAAAGTGTTGAAATTGTCAAACAATAACTGATCAATAGTGTCATGATTCAAAAATGTGAAGAATATACCTAGTAGAGTGATGGAGTTAAGGATGTGAAGTAATAGTTGTTCTTCCCTTACCTTAATCCTTCAACACAATCTTCTTCCTTGAGTTTAGAGTGAATTTAAATTTAGAAGGAAGCACTCAAGCTAGAAGCACAAAGGAGTGCTCATAGCTAACCTTAGAAGATCTACGACTCCTAAAGCTAAGCAAAGGAACTCAATAACTTTTGAAGAGAAAATGACTAAAAGGTATAATTAAATTTCTCAAATGGCAAAAGTGATTACAAATGTGAAGGAGTGAACTATATATAGGACCGTAGGCAAGCAAAAGTGATGTCAATCACTGGTGCCAAGAATTTGAAATTCAAATTCTCGGCCACCATGTGCATGACCATGATCTTAGAGTGTCCATGTATCTAAATGTCATTTAGGAAGCATTTAGGATGGATTTAGGCGTGCACATGTTCAGCCACACTTAGCTTAAAACATGTGACCCAAATTTATCTTAAATGACTACTAAATGAAACCTAGATTTAGCCTCACTTACCTATTTTAGTATTCTCCCAATACTCCTACTCTAATGGCCTAAATACAATGGTCAAACAATAAGAAATAATAAAAGGAACAAAATGAGCCCAATATTGAATATCAAAATACCCAAGGTCCATAAAGCCCAAATTAGGCCCACTAAGCCTATGTCCTAAAAACTCTAATCTAGGTGGTCCAAAATACAAGATCAAAAATGTAAAGCCTATACTACATATTGGAAACAATAATAATGGTGGTCATTGTAAAGCCCATGTGAAGAGTACCCTAGGCTCACCAAGTCCATTGAGCCCACCAAACTCTAAAGCAATCAAACCTTCATGTAATCTCTTGGTCATAGTTCTAATGGTTGGACCTTTGGTCCATGCTCTTCCATTATAGAGTATAACTTAAAACAAGTTTAATTGTTATAGTTCCATGTGTATGTTTGGATACTAATTTAAATTTTGTTTGATGAAAATGTCTAATTGGTGTTCATCAGTTTGGAATAATTTCACAAAGATTCAAAATCAAATCAATTAAATTGGTTTAGCATTTAATTTTAGTTTGAGCTGGATTTGAAATGACTCGTTGAAATTTGATGTTGACATGTTGGATTCATACTATTAAAATCTAAGCTAATTTGAACTAAACTAACTATTTGTATTATTATTATTATTATTATCATTTTTATTGGTTACATAGTAAACATGCGACTTTGTGTAGTTGGACTATTAGGTGTATGTTGGTAGATTTAGCTTTAAATAGACAATTTGGTGTATGTCAAACGTGTTGGACATTTTGGTTAATGTTTTCTCTATTATTATAGATGAAGTAGTATGATTTAATCAATTATTTGAGTGTCATTTTTTATATTCTATAAATCAGTAACGAGTAAAAGTATGTTTATTTCTAATTTTCAAAATAGTTATTTTTATTTTTTTTATTGAATATTTTATGACTCAAATATAACTAATACTTCCAACATTGAGTTGCTTTAATTTGGTTAGGATTATACAAAAAATATATTCTAAAATATGAACTAGAGTTAATTGCTTCAGATTTCATTTTTCTTTTTAATCAGAACCAATATGACTTGTTGACACACATAGAAGTACTAATATTATTTCAAACTAGCGGAAAAAAACACTTTATGTCTTGTTAATGTTGTGCGGTTGTATGAGTTATAAAATGGTTATGGAGTGTGCAATTTATTAAGGAAAAAATAATTTTAGATTTTAAATTATAATTTTTGGTTAAATTAATATGATAAAATTACTGAGTCATTTTACATTAAAAAAAAATGAGAGATGTAAAATTATCATGATAGATAAAGGGTAAAAATATCTTAAAAAATGTATACAGAAAAACTTTGTATCTTCTTTATATGTTGTCATAAATATTTATTGATCCAAACGAGTAACCACCAAGACTTAAGTTTTTAACATAGTAAAGTAAGACGAAATATTATTGAAAATCATAAAATTGTTCGAGGTAAAATTTTATTTTAATAATTTACAATTTTTTTGATAAATATATTAAATTATTAAGGTTGAATTTCAATTCTAATCGAAGAATAATACTAATAGTATCTAAATTTAGAATTGTATATAAATTTTATCTTATTTTCTAAAACAATTTATGCAAGTTTGAGTTACTATTCAAGAGGCTCAAAATTATGTTTACAAAAAGTTCTCACTCGATATCATGTGTTAAAAGTGCATTAGAATGTTTGCCACAATAATCTAGATAACTTAAACATGCGCTTAGATGTAATAAGTCCTAAATTAAATCAGTCTCTGATGTTAGTGCTACAAATTCTTTTAAAGGGTATAATTACATAAGGACTTTATGTAAGGATAGACCAAATAAGCCAATAAAAGAAAGAAATGTCTTTCAACACCTTCAATGAAAGAAACTTCTTCAAACCCTTCTATAAGAACCTAAATGATTAAGAGGCATTTTCGACAAAACATATGATAGAAGTTTAAGACTTTTTGGCACCCTCAGTTACCAAAATCTTGTCGATGAAGTTGATAGCCAAAGAGTGTCGATGTTGTAGCCTAGTTAATAATATCAACTTTGAAGTAATCAAGTTTAATCAAGGTAAGTCCTTGATTAAAGAGTGCATTACCTAAATCTAATAGGTAAAAATGCCTTCTCAGTTATTGAAAGTCGTCAAAGTTGATAACCAAAAAAATGTTGAACCCATAACCTAGTAGAAATAATCAAGTTTAATAAAGACAAATCTTTGATTAAAGAGTGTATTACGTAATCAATAATCTTGAACCAAAACTCATTGATTCAAAGTTCATTATGGTTATTATAAATAGTGATGCATATCAAGATAAAAAGTATTGTTCATTGATTGTGTGCATTTATCATTTACTGAAAAATTTACTTGAATAAGAAGGTGTCTTTTGTGGATATTCCACCTCTTGATATCTTTGGATATTTGGAATTGGGAGATTGGATATAATCGAGAACTTTATTTAATTCTAAAATCATTAGATTTATACAATTTTAAATGAAAGGTCGAGATTGTTTTTTCTCTCTTCTAATTTTTTATTTTCTCCTTAATTCTCCCTCCTTTTTCGATTTACCCTTCTTTCTCTGTCCTTCATACTACCACAACAAGATTCCTCTACTACCACCGCCCATCCTCTCTGCAAAGCTCCTATTCATCAACACTTTTGCTAAAAGGCTTTGTCTTCCTTCGTAGGCAGGTAGAGTTACGGAGAGGGAGGTGGAAAGACAGAAAGAAGGAGAAAAAAGGATAAAAGAAAATAAAGAAGAGTAGTATAATTTGGATCCTTGGTTTAAAATTAAATAACTTTAA